TTACACCGTACCGATCCCGATCCCGACATATCGGTTCGGTATGGTTCGGGATGGTTCGGTATCGGTTTCGGTACAAATCGGGATGAATATACATACCTACTTTACACCTTAAAGTTTAACAATGTCCCTTTATTTTTGAAAATTAAAAGTGAATTTAAATAAAAAAAACGTGAAAAATAAAAAAAATGAATATTTAAATGCAAGGGATGCATATCAAAACATAGTTTATATTTCACAAACTAAAAAAATGAACGACAACAAAGGGTTTTTCGAATCTTTGTGAATACTTTTATGTTTATACACAAAAACTAAAACTCAAATAAAAGTATAACTTACACATGATAAAACTTCAACCAAATTTTTTTAAAAAAATTACTCCGTATTATTTATTTAGTGAAGGAATATGAAAAATATTACTACGGGTTATTATTTTTTATAATATTTTAGTATATATGTTCGGTTCGGGATTTTCGGTATGGTACGTCACCTCGTACCGTTCCCAAATACCGTACCGACCATTCGGTTCGGTACGGTTCGGTTTCTTCTCGGTACTTTTTCGGTTCGGTATTTTTCGGTTCGGTATTCTCGGTTTTTTCGGGAAATTTCGGTATCGGTTCGGTACTTGCTCACCCCTAGTATTCTCCGTATATGGAAAGTATTCTTGAAATGAAATCTTTGTATATGAAAGGATTTAATCTTGATCTACCATCTTGAATTAGCAATCTTTCAAATAAGGAAGTCAAATTACCCTTAATTTTCTCCATCATTGATTATTTGACTTGGCATAAATGGAAGGAAATACTTTAAATATTAGTCTCTCTCATGCCATTTATGGTTTATTTTTAAAAAGGAAAGTTTTCCATTTTCCAAGCCATTCTCATAATATTTTCTTCTCACGGGCCAATTATGAAATATGGACTCCATTCTCATAATATTTTCTTCTCACGGGCCAATTATGAAATATTTGGAAGATTTCATTCACATCAGGTATGCTTGGCTGCAAGGAGAGAAAGAAGTTCCTGAATGGAAGGATTGGGTATGAAATAAGCTTACTCCTCCCAAATTTCAATTTACTTTTTGGCTCCTCATGAAAGGGAGATAGCAAGCTAAAGAAAGATTGAGCAAATACCTTGAGAATAGTAAACATCTATTCTGGAAGTGTCATTATGCTCAAACTGTTGACTACAAGAATATATTTAAGAGGTTCCAGATCAGGACACAAGCTAATGAGCTAGATAAGGTAGGGGATAAGATTATGAAAATCAAACCTAAGAAGACAAGGGGCACCACACTTGCTGTGTGCGCAGCTTGTAGCTATGGAATATGGAGGTCTAGAAATGGGTATATTCACCACAAGGAGATCAAGGAAGAAGAGACTATTAGCTATATTTTATTCAATATTAACTGTTTTATAGACTATAGGAGGAAAATGTAAATTATAGTGGTGTGTTTGATCCTTGTATACTTGGATTTGATCGGTGAATAAAATGTGTGCTTTCACTTCAAAGAAGAAAGAGAGTGACACACAAGTGTAGGAAAATCTGGAATGGTGTGACTGATGTTGAATTTCAAAGATATGAATTGATTTGAGCCAAATAATAGCAAATATGGTATCATCGGTATGGGGCGAAAAATTGGGATAAACCAAAATGGATAAAAGGGACAAAGTGGAACAGGGAGAGTACAATGCCGCTAGTTTTTTCCATCATATCTCTTTTGGCCAAGATGTACAATAAATATGCATAATTAATTACTATAACTCTATAAAACATAATTGATATGCATAATTAATTACTATAACTCTATAAATATGCCCAAAAATGCAAATAAACCCTTTGGAGGTAAGACAATTGTCTTTGGTGGTGATTTTCGTTAAATTCTTCCAGTAATTCCAAAGGGTACACGCCAAGGCATAGTAAATGCGACAATTAATTCCTCATATATATGGGAGCATTGTGTTGTCTAACGATTGACCATGAACATGTGATTGAATTCTTTGGCCGATACGAGTAACTATGAGTCTCTGATAGAATTCTCAAATCGGATTGCAAGTATTGGCGATGGTACCGCAAGGGAGGGTAATGATGGGCATCCTAAAATTCAGATCCCCGATGACATGTTAATAAAGTTCTGAGATGATCCCATCCAATTGTCTAGGCCACTTATCCGAATATGGAGAAGATTGCAAACAACCCTTCGTACGTACAAGAAAGAGCAATCTTAGTACCTGGCTACCTGCACTCGGCATTGTTGATGTAATCAATGATTACATGACTACATTAAATGGTTCCAAAGAGTGCAAGACATATCTAAGCTCAGATTCCATTTGCAAGTCCGAAAGCAACTTTGATTGTTTGAATGATATTCACACTCCTGAGTCCTTGAACGGGATTCAAGCATCTGGCGTTCCAATAATGTTGCTAAGGAATATTGACTCATCGATGGGGCTATGTAATGGAACAAGATTTATTGTTACTCGGTTGGGTAACCATTTCATTCAAGCTAAAATAATGTAGGGGAAGTATATTGGAATGGAGGTCGTAATACTAAGATTATCTTTGACCCATTTGATACTAGAATTCCTTTCAAGTTTTAGAGAAAACAGTTCCCGATCATGACTTCTGATGCAATGACAATTAATAAGAGTCAGGGACAATCACTTACACACGTTGGCTTATTGTTAAAAAAAAACTTGTCTTCAGTCATGGTCAACTTTAAGTTGCAGTTTCTCGAGTGACGAGTCGAGGTGGTTTAAAGATTGTGATTTGCGATGAAGGTGGGAAACCCTTGGACCACACTACAAATGTTGTCTACAAAGAAGTTTTCCAAAATGTCTAATGTTGGATTTGTTTCTACTCCCTCCATCCCTGAGTATTTGTCCACTTTTGACTTTTTCGGTCAAAATTAGTAAACTTTGATCTCAAATTAAATAAAAATGATATTAGATATTGTTATAAAAAGAGTTTTATTAGATTTATTATATCAAATATTTTCAAAATATTGTTTTATTTAATTAAACTACAGTATATATTTTATTTAATTATAGGTCACAGGTTGAAAACAATTGACCGAAAAAAGTCAAAACCGGACAAATACTCAGGGACGGAGGTAGTATAATATACAATGTCATTGTAAAGAGTCTGAGTGATTGTAAGCAATCATAAATGCATGAAAAGTAACTAAATCATATTTGCATCAATATCCATCAATTTTAATTTTCTTTTAATTGTAGTGGTAAAGTTAAAGATGTCGATAATCATATTGAAAACTATTCTTATGGTAATATTATTGTACAAATCTATATGTTTAGCAACTAACATCTAATTTTAACAGCATTATTATAAAAAAAATTGAAAACTTTCTCGCCGTGCATCGCACGGGTATGAATCTAGTTAACTGTTGTATAGAATATAGGAGGAAAATGTAAATTATAGTAGTGTGTTTTATCCTTGTACACTTGGATTTGATGGTGAATAAAATTGTGCTTTCAGTTCAAAGAAAAAAAGAGTGACACACAAGTGCAGGAAAATCTTGAATGGTGTGACTGATATTGAATTTCAATAATATTAATTGATTTGAGCCAAATAATAGCAAATATGGTATCATTGGTATGGGGCGAAAAATTGGGATAAACAAAATTGGATAAAAGGGACAAAGGGGAACAGGGAGAGTACAATGTCGCTAGCTTTTTTCATCATATCTCTTTTGGCCAAGATGTACAATAAATATGCATAATTAATTACTATAACTCTATAAAGCAATACAAGGTCAAAACCAAGAACTCAATTAAACCGTTTGCATTACCTTTGAACCTTCCATCATCAGAACCCATTGTGCATCCTGCATCCGTCCATAGGCATTCCTATTTCCTCTATATTCCTCCATTACAGCCCCTCTTTCCTTTTCCAAGTCATACTCCGATGCTCGGACCTGAATGTAAATTAGTGGAGTTTACATTTCCCTTTTCTTTTATAAGTTTATGGAAAAGAATATGTGGCTCACAACAGTTCTCTTTGTTGGAAATAAACTTAAACCACGTATATGTCACTTCAAATACTTTTCTTAAACTCTGTGAAGTTAAAGTGTAAGATTCATTTTGAGACGGATGCACTATATGTTTCCAAAGATTCTACAAAAAGGCAATTATTAATACCTCCGAGCTGAACTCTCCTAATACAGAAATTGCTTGAGATAATAACTCTGGTTTGTCAATTGGAACAAAGAGCTCATAAATAGTTTCATCAGCAGATGTGACTGCATTCTGGCAAGCACCAAATTCAGCCCCGATACTTTCAAGAAACCTAATAATATCATGGTTTGTGTATTTCTCAGTGGCACTAAAAGCAAGATGTTCTACTATATGAGCAACACCACGCTCTTCCTCGTCTTCTAAAACTGATCTGCAATTAATTTAACTGCACTTGATTAGCGAATCAGTATATAAAGCACGCATGGTCAAGAGTCACAATAAACAAACACATGCTGCAAGCAAACAACAAGAGAATCAATTCATGGAAGCGTCCTTGAGTTCATCTTGTCTCATAAAACACACTCACATTGAAATCATACCACAAGACCAAGACTTGCATTGTATTCATCACGCTATTAATACCTAAACATGTGTGTTGTACGTAGACCTGGCAAAACTGACCCGGACCCGATAACCCGAACCGAATAACCCGGAACCGAACCCGATTTGACCCGAAAACTGAAGAACCAAAATAGAACCGAACACCCGAAATGATCCGAACCGAACCGAACCCGAACCGAATGTATTCAGACCCGATTCAGACCCGAATCCGATTAAACCCGAACCGATTAAACCCGAACCGATTAAACTCGAACCCGGTTGAACCCGAACCCGGTTAAACCCGGAACCGATTAGACCCGAACCCGGTTAGACCCGAAATTGATCAAATTTGTTAATATTTCATTTATCAAATGAATTTGGAGAAAACGAATTACCTATATATTTTTACATATGTTGATGTGTTTCTAAAAAAACATATTTAAATTATGGGTGCAAACCATGTACTAGTAACTACTTTCATGTACAAATCTTTTACTTTGCATTTTATGACTTAAGTTGAAATACTTTTGTATTTTTATAGAAAGTATATAAAAATTATAGTTAACTAAATTAACTAAATTTATTATGTGATTTATTCATTTATTAGTATGTATGTGTTTACATTAAACCGATATAAACTCAAACCTATATAAACCCAAATCAATACAACCCGAATTGATACAAACTTGAACTGATATAACCCGAACCGATACAAACCCGAACCGATATAAACCCGAACCGATATAAACCCGAACCGATATAAACCCGAACCGATACAAACCCGAACCGATACAAACCCGAACCGAAACCGAACCGAAACCGAAAACCAATCAAACCGAAATAAACCNCACTCTCAAATACTCCCTCTGTCCCAAAATAATAGAAAAAAATGCACTTCAACTTCATTTTTGGAAGAGAAACAAATGTTGTGAACCACATTCTGTTTTCATTACAGTAGGTACCTATTCTACATTTCTACTACCCTTTGTAAAGCTAACCACACAAACAAAAGACAGAAACCATCAAATTCGGGGGGAAACAAACCTAATGCACCAAACCCAAGGCATAGCATTGAAACAAAATTCGTTTCCACAAAAGATCGCATAAGAGACGTATAAGAAAGTCAGATGAGAATATACCCAGCTCTGACGGCCAGTGCCAGAGCAGCTCTCATCTTCGGCTTTGAATTGGATCGAACATAGTAAGTGAGACCATTGTCCAGGCGGCCGTAGTCGACTCCGCACGGCGTCTCCGACAAGGCCTCCTCCATGTTCACATTCACCAGTTTCAGGGAACGGAACCGGTGCTTCTTTGGCAGCACATGCGATGATTCAGCCGGTAACAAATCCATCGTCCAATCTTACTCAAGTTTTTTCTTTGCCTTTCCTACTACTTCCGTTCCCTAGCTTAACACTAATTTTCATTCATCTTTTGCCTTTGAGATGCTTGATTTGCTTCTAGGCCTGCTTGATTTGCCTTTGTGTTGAAGGTGTAAATTTAAAATTCTTGAGTAAATATAAACTTATGGGAGAAATACGAAAATAGCACTTTAATAGCCTTATAATATTCAAAATAGCAGTGCTATTAGTTTTTAGGATGAATTCCCGTTTTTATCCTTAAATAAACTCCCAAAATTAGAATTATACTGCAATGTATATAGTCTTCACTGCCACATTATAAATAAGTATGAAATTCTCTGTTCTTCACTGCCACAATATGTTTGAGATTGAATTTAGTGCCCTAACACATACAACACTGCCAAAAAAAGAGCAGAATTCATTTTAAGCCGTGACCTTTTATTTTTTATGGTAATTATACACTGTAATATATACTTTCTACACTGCCACAATATGTACTTCCAAAAATTCAATGTCTGAAATACACTGCCACAATATATACACTGCCAAAAATTCAGTGTCTGAAATACGCTGCCACAATATATACACTGTCACAATATATCTACACTGCCACAAAACACAATCATTAAAACTAAAAATACAGTGAAATCCGAATAAAAGGATGCAAGACAAAATTTTAACATTTAATCTTCACACTGCCCACACCATAACACCTAATCTTCACGCTGCCAAAATCACAATGTCTTTCAAAAGACCTAATTTTTCAAAAGGGACAAATACTTGGTATTTCAAAATTGATTTCACAACATACACCTAATCTTCAATACGAAGAAAACACAATAATTAATACTAAAAATACAGGAAAATCTGAATAAAAGGATGAAGGACTGAAAATTAAAAATTTAAGGAGAAGAGAAAATGGTTAGCGACATCAAATATTAGCATGGGAGAGAACCTGATGATTGCCGCTGCTGATCGACCAAGGAATCGTGGGCGAAGGACTGAGGACGCATCATCGCCGGCGAACGGGAGGAGAGATCGTGGAGTTCAATAGCGTGCGGGAGAACGGAAGGAGAGATTGGAGTTGAATGCCGTAATTTTTAATGAAAAAAAAAAAGAAAAAGGGGTAAAGGGTATGATAGGAAATGATTGACACCATAAATTGCTAAATTTGTTAAAAACAATGAGTAGTGCTAAATGCGTAATTTAGGGTGAGTTAGAGTGCTATGTAGGGTGATTTCTTTAAACTTATTACTCCACAAATAAACTTCCTGTTGTGCGATACGATGTTTGATTGAAGTTTTTTAAAATCTTTTTGTATGAAAATTGGTGTGAAAATTTAAAATAAAAATTACATATTAAAAAACAATATCAAAAGATCTACAAAACTAGAAACGATGTGACAATATTATTTTATCAAATGGGTAACAAGAAGTGGGCGAAGAAGTACTTGGTCCTGAAGTGCCAAATTTAAGTGTGAAATTAGACAGGTAACGTGTACACATATGGCGATACGACATTTTCTTAGAAGTCGACTGAGCAAACACGAACACCAACATTGAATCAAGCTGAATCAATAGCATTATATGACACTGATCGAGGGTAAGCATGGTAGAGATTGGTTATCAATCTCATACAAGGAGCGTGCTATTTGGAAGAAATCAAGAAGAATTCAATGGTTATATATGAAGACAATGTAGCATGCATAACTCAAATCAAGGATGGCTACATCAAGGGAAACAGAACGAAGCACATCTCACCAAAGTTTTTCTCAACATCTGATTTGTAGAAAGAAGGAGAAATCGATTTTCTTCAAGTTAAATCAAGCAAAAATTTGGCAGACTTATTCACCAAATCTTTGCCTAGACATAGTTTCAAGCAACTCATAAAGAAGATTGGACTTTGTAGGCTAAACGAGATAAATTAGTTTGAGGGGGAGTATAATTTTATTTCGAGGATAAAGATTATGAACGTTGTACTCTTTTTCCCTTAACTAAATTTTGTCCCGATGGGTTTTCTTAGTAAGGTTTTTTAATGAGGTAGCATAACTCATCCTGCAGAATTAGTTAATATAGGTCTTGAGTAATCTAGCCAACATTATCTAGTAGCATAATGTTGTTAGTGCATAATGAACGATGACATATCTGAGGGGAAGAGCTAAATATGGCATATATATTACTCATATTATTTAGAATATTTATTAATTTGTTTACCTAGACTTCACCTCCTCCTGTGTATGTATAAATACTTTGACATATGATTAATAAGGCACTCAGTTTACAACAAATATAAAATTTATAGAGATTTTGAGAATTTAGAAAGAGAGATTGAGAGAATAGAGAAATTAGAAATTGTGTTGTGAAACTTTGAAAAAAATAAATAAGGTATTTATAGGTTAACCCCGCCCCCCTCAAACCCCCCTTCCCCCACGGCTAAATAGTCGTTCTGACCTATCTGGTTGTCTCTGGTCTGCCTTCCCAGTTCCCAATGGTCAGGTTCCAATACTGCCTGCCCCGTGTCTGCAAAACTCTTTCCATTCTCGCAATAAAAAGGAAACAATTACTTCTTTCATCCAAAAACTATATTCTTGTTCACTATTCAAAAGGTCAAACTTTATTCACTTTGTTGGCATATTTTCATTGTCCATTTGATAAAATAATATATTCATGATACTTCTAGTTTTGTAGATTTTTTATGAAAGTTTTTTAATATGAGATTTTTATTTTTTAATTCTATACCATTTTTTCATATAAAATGATTTGAAAATAACTTCAGTCACGCGCAACGAGAAAATAATTTTTAAACGGATGGAGTATAAAATGGAATGGAGGAAGTATTTTTAGAAATCATCATAAATAGGACTAAAACATAGAGAAAAGTACCAAAATAAGACTTTCATGTTTTTTCCCCAGAATAGGACTTTGCATTGTGGTAATGTGACTTTGCATTGTGGTAATGTGGCAGTGTACATGTGCAAATTACTATACTTTTTTTGTAATGTATATGATCATGTTTGGTAATGTAAGTCCTATTTCGGAAACAAAAACATGGAAGTCCTATTTTGGTACATTTTCAATGTTTTAGTCTTATTTTGGTCTTTCTCCCAAGTATTTTACGGAGTATTAAACTTGCAATATTAATTTAAACAATACTTTATTTGTATATTACCCCTTAAAAAGGGTTAATTCCACTTAATTGAGTAACATTACCGATTTATAAATGTAGAGGATGATAATGAAGATGAGATTTAGGAACCTTATTTGAGTAAAAAGAGAGCAATAATTTTTAACGATTGGCATTAGCTAATGCAAGATAGGTACTACGTGTATTGCTTTTATTTTTGTAGAATGGGGCTTAACATGAAATAGACCCAACTTATAACCAAGGAAAGATAAACCAATGGAATAATGAATCAACCTGCCAATTTTTTAAATAAAAATGCAGAGAAATTTATAAGCCCATCCCAGCCCAACCTGGTGAGCATCGGCAAGTAAAAAAAATTACTCCGTACTCAATTAATTGTAAGAATAAGCCCCTCATATATATACTCCATACAGATTTAGATACTATACAATGCCATTTGCCTAAATCAGAGTCTAAACGATTGCAACCTCTAATTATATGGTTATAAGAACTATATATATATATATATATATATATATATATATATATATATATATATATATATATATATATATATATATATATATATATATAAAATCTGCCCGCCCCCACCAGTGTCTGTTGTAATCCGAAGCAAAACTGAGCATACTATACACCACCTGAAATGATAAGAGCAAAAGCTTTGTTAGAAATGAGTGATTTGATTGGCCTCATCAAAGATTCATCAAAATATCCCAAAGCATTCCAATCCCTTGAAATTCAAGTTTCAATTTTGGGTAGTGAACAAATGCACAAACTGGGAAAAGCTAGAGCTAGAGAAGGCAATGGTGGGATTTATACCTTACCTGAGGTTATATCAAGCATGTACTGAATGGGGGATCAGCGGATTCGGTTAACATGAGCAAACGGCTCCGGATTGGACTTGGGAACCTTTTTCTTGACTTCAGGCGTTCCAAAAACATTCCAAAGTCTTAGTGTTTCATCACTTGAAGCAGATGCAACAGTGCAACCATCTGGGCTCTGCACAACAAATATATGACTGTGAGTGAGTATATTTCACCACGCACCGCGATAGCAATCTTTTGATATTAAATTTGTGAGAACAAGAAGAAGAAGAAAGACAGTCAAACCTGAGCCATGAAAAGAACTCGAGATGTATGTCCCCTAAGCTCTGCCATCTTAACCATTGATGGGTATTTCCAGAGAGTTAGCTGATTCTGAGTAAACCCATGGGAGCTAAGTAACTCACGCTCATTCTTGTTCCAAAGCAGCGCGGACACCTGAGAACCTGTATGAACTGAGCCCACACATGCACCGGTATGGGTATTCCAGAACTTAATGCACTGGTCTCCTCCTCCTCCCCCGGAGGCCAAGAGGTCTGCCTGAAATGGACACCAGGCAAGTGCCTTAACTGCAGCCCTGTGATCCTCAAATCTGTGAAGCCATTGATTTGTTGAGGAGGCAGTCGATGATCTGTCCCATATATATAGAAGGTTATCATTTCCTCCGCTCGCCAAGTGCCGGCCCGAGGCAGACCATTTTAGGCCGCACACTTCATGACTGTGTCCTCTGTATGTTTTCACAATATGTGATCTCATCCGGACGTCATTGTTGATAATCAGACCATCCATCCCACCTGTGGTAAGTATATGCTTGTTCCAATCAAGGGCTCCCACTCGTGATTGGTGGCCACCTCTCAAAGTTTGCAACTGCCCAAGCATCAGACAACAATAAAATAACAAATTCTCAGTATTTATTCAATCAATGAAAGAAAAGAAAACAAGACCCAAACTAAAAGAGCTTAAGAAGAAGCATACCAATCTGTTAGCCGTGGTATCCCAAAGCTGGACATCAGAATTATTCAATCCAACAGCAACATGCTTTCCATCGGGAGCCCATTTCACACTTGTGACAGGACCAAATTCATCATCAACCGTGACCAGTTCAGATGTTCTGCGCTGAGAAGCATCCCACAGGTAAACAGTACTGCCAAGAGCAATAGAAAGGACATTGCTGCTTCCCCAATCTAGTAGGTTCAAGTAGTAGTCATCCACAAGACCTGGGGCATCTAAAGTCCTCTCGGATGTCTGCAAAAATGAACCAATCATCAAAACTATAAATAAGAAGTTAAAATTCACTCAGTATTGAATAAGTAAAAAAGATTCCTTTCTACCTGAGGAATTTGGCGAAGAGGTTTTGTAGGTCTGGCCTCATAAGAGACAGAAGAATCCTCGTACAGATACCCACGCAAAGGGGTGGGTGGTTTGTCTTTAAAAGCAAGNTTGAAGGTGACCTGGCCACAGGATTCGGCTTCACTTTGCACCCTTCTGTCACCATAAAGTGCGCATAGTCCATATCCATTGCAGATCTGTTAGGAATGAACCTGTCAAACTACAAAAAAGCAACCAGAAAAAATTCTGTTAAGTCAACTATATTTCTGGAAAACTAGCTTGTGAAGAAACTCAAACAGATAAAGGTGGAAACATATAATAATTCATTGGAGATTTCAAAAAATACAAAAAAAAATCAGATTACTTGATGAAATAAAAGTGACAACGAAATTTACATCAAATTTCCAGATGAAAGTAGATAGCTTTTTCATGGGATTTACACCATTTTGCATCAATTGTGCAGATGAAATTTACATCAATTTACAAAAGGTAGAGATTACATACATTTTGATGCGATCTTTTTCCTTGAGGAGGCAAGTCATACTGACGAAACATTTTCATAGAGGGGTTCCTGAATCCTGCAACCATCACGTTAATAACACACAAAAAACAAAAAGGACAACAACAGCTATAAACAGAAATATGTTAAGAGAAAAATTCGAAAATAAAAGGGCCTGCAAAACCAATTTCAGATCGTTAGGAGAAAAATTCGAAAATAAAAGGGCCTGCAAAACCAAATTCAGATCGTTAAGAGAGCAACAAAATTGAATCTGAATGCAGTATGAAGAATAACAGAGATTCAATATCAAGCGCCAGCGGGAGATCTATTGAGAAGAGAATAATCGCGCGAAAATTATCTATTAGATCCAAGATCAATCGCCCGCCAGCGGGAGATGGATTGCGAATCGCGCGAACGAGAGAGAGAAAGTAAGCAGGAGAACGGAGGCGGCGGTAAGAAGAGAGCGTGAAGTTTACGACGTGAACTGTAATAGGGTTTTAACCCTTTTATTAACGACGTTTAGCATTTAAAAAAAAAGAATCGTTGTAATTTGCTTAGACTAAAATGCCCTTAGGCAGTCCAGATAAAATGCCCTAATGCCCTTAGGCAATCCCGGACCAGGGTTTAAAATTTTTATTACGGAGTATAAATTACGTAGTACTACGTATAAAAGTAAAACTACAAATTGCAAATATGATATTTTATTTTATTTTATAAAATTATCAATTAAAATATATAATAATACAAAAATAATTGAGAAAGCATAATAATTACCGTGGCAATTATTGTAGGACGGAAGGATTACTCATCCTTATTAATATTATACTTGCAAATAGATTAAAGAGGTGTATTGGATGGTGTGCAAAAATGAAAGTGGACAAACACTCAGGGACGGAGGGAGTATCAAATTAAATTTAATCATATTGAATCACACTTATTCAGATCATATCAGATCCAATTTAATCAAATCTGTTTTGATCAAATCAATTCAAAAAATGTTGATAAATAATATTCCATCTGTCCCAAAAAAGTAAAAGACTCCTAGTTACTATTTCCATATCAAAATAATTTTATTTTCTTTATATATTTTTATTGATTATTTAATTAAATAATCTTTTCTCTGCTTGTTTTGTAAAACTTTTGATATAATTTTTTAATATATAATTTTTATTCTTTAATTCTGTAGAAATTTACTTATAAATTTATTTTTAAAATAAATTTAATTAAAAATTCATAAATTCATATAAAAGTAAATTACAAATTGTACTGTTCAAAACTATATATAAAATCTGACAATAATATTTTATTTTATTAAATTTTAAATGAAAATATACAAACAAACAAAAATAATCAAGAAATCATACGATTAATAGTGACAAATATTGTGGGTTAAAAGGATTGCTAATTCTTGGCGATACTATATCATTTGAGATCCAATCATATTTTATTAATGTAATTTTTTCACTAAATGTAATTTTTAATGTAATTTTTTATGTTGTTGTTATTCAAATCTTATTTTATTAATGTAATTTTTTTATTTAATGAACTATTCTCATTTAAATTTAATTAATTAATGAAATCTTATCAATTTAATTGTACATAATGTGTATTCAAAATGTAAAAAATAAAAGTTTGAAGCTCCGGTTTGAAGCTCTGGGTCTTCAAAATCATTTCCAGTGAAATTATGATGTAACTGGTATCTTTTGAACGTTGTAATAAAAAGGTATCTCAACTTTGAGCCTTGTAACAATTCCAAACCAATACAAAACGATTTTTAATTTGGAAGCCAAGTGGAATGTCACGTGCTAACAAAGGAGCCTGATGGAATGCCAGATGTACATTCAACGACTGGATTCTCAAAACTCCGACAAAGGTACCCCTTTGTCACAATTTTGAAGTTGAAATATTTTTTTGTTATAATTCAAAGATGAGGTATTTTTTTAGATAGTGATAGACATACCCGATAAAACATCATTAAAACACCCCCGCCAACTAAATAATTTTTGTGATATATTATTAAGTTACATAGTATCATTTGAAAATATTATATAAAATGTATTAATTTTAAAAATGCGCACATATATATATATATATATATATATATATATATATATATATATATATATTTGACACATTCTTTATTCAATAAAACTAATTATTTTAAAATAGGAAAAAGTTTAAAATAGATGTAAAAATAGAAAATAAATCAAAATAGAAGTTTCATGTTTTTATTTCCAAAATAAGAGTTAAAATCTATATATAATGTCAATCATGTCAATATATAATGTCAAAAAGTATTGTCAAATATTCATATACAGTGTCATATTAGCACAATACAAGTTCTTATTTTGGGAATAAAAGCATGAAGCCCTTATATTTTGATATTTTCACTATGTTTTACTTTTATTTAGAGCATGTTCTTTAGGACTAGAAAAAAAGAGCTGGATGTTGGAAGAAACTGGAAATAACTAGAAAGAACTAAAAGAAACTAGAAGAAACTAGAAGGAACTAGAAGAACTGGAAGAAACTAGAAAAAACTAGAAGAAACTAAAAAAAACTTTAAAAAATTGGAAAACTAAAAAAACTTTAAAAAAAATTTATTTTAGTGTATTTTATATTATTCTGACTCTAATTCTTGTTGTTATAAATTATTATTATTATTATAATATTATTATTGTTATTATTATTATTAAAATCATCATTATCATCACATTATCTTAATGAATTCCTTTAAGATAAAAAAAATTATTGTTATTTTTTAAATACAAAAAACTACTTTTGCAAAAAAAAGAATTATAATATAAAGTTAGCATAAATATCAAAATGTTAACTTTTAAAAAGTTTTAGTATTTTTCTCTAAACTATTTTGACTTTAAATTTTTTTTTATAAAAAATCGAACTATGAGAACATTTTGAGTAATGAAAGGGAAATGTGAGAGGTCTTATACAAAGTTAGTTTAATAAAATATTCTATGTAACTATTTTATCCATAATTTTTTAATATAGTTTAAATTATTGATGTTTTCCTATAAATATACAAAAAATTGTCTTATTCATATTAAAAAGTTGAAAAAGTAATGAGATGAAAAAAATTATTTATAAAGTATAGTTATGAACATAACAGTTGTAATAATAATAATAATAATAATAATAATCACATTAAAAATATATCGTTTTTAGAGTAAGAATTTTAAGAAAATGAGAATAATTGGAATAAACTGGAAGAGCTGGAAAAAATTAGAAAAATCTAGAAGTTAAGAGTTTAAACCCTAAAGAACAAATTCTTAGAGTGAGTTCATTTATCAAATTTTATCAAAGTCTGGGAGTTTTTTTTGAACGAAAAATACTCACTTAGTCCTGAAATGAGTGGACCACAAAAAGATTTGCCATATTATGAAACATGCATGGATCTCTATATTTTAAGAGACTCACTATAGGTAGCTATATTTTTTTATTTATTAAAATCTATAAAATGAGTATGAACATAAAGATCAAGAAAAAATGTGCCATACTTTAAGTTTATTTTCTAACCTAAAAATATAAGCAAAGTATGACGTCAAATTTATATGTACAAAATTAGTGTTGTTAGATATTTTGAAAATATTCCAAACGACATACTCCGTATTATTTGATAATTTACGTACAAAATATTATAAACATAACAAAGATTACAAGAGAAATGCTAAAAGAAAATATTTAATAATATAAAAATAATACGGAGTAATAACTTACTACCCCTTGCACTCATCCTTAGCATAGCAAAAAAACATGGGCTATGCTACACTTACACCACAAATTGTACCTCATTTGTACACCGCAGATATACACAAACATTTTGATGATTTACACCGATACAAGTGTTGGTTCGTTAACAAAAATTTACACGAACACAAAGTGTTGGTGCATTAACAAAAATTAGTTTTACACCAATACAAAGTGTTGGTGTAAAACCAATTTTTGTTAATGCACAAACACTTTGTGTCCGTGTAAATTTTTGTTAACGCACCAACACTTGTGTCGGTGCAAACCATCAAAATGTTTGTGTATGCCTGCGGTGCACAAATGAGGTACAATATGTGGTGTAAGTGTAGCATGACCTAAAAACATAACACAATTTCATGATCTTAAGGTCTCAGATGACATACCATATGACATACCATGTCATGTCATCAATTTTCTTGGAGCACGGGGCATTCCATGTTTGTTCCACCCCTCTTCCCATAGGAGGTGCCACACAATTGTTCTCATTTTTTTTCTTTTATTTTTAGAAAATAAGAAGAATTTCTGTAATTTTTTTAGAGAAGAAGACATATTTTTATTATAAATTAAATATATAAAATAATTTTTAATACTTAAAATATGTCAAAAAGTATAAAAAGTAAAAAATAATGAATTGCCACTATAAGATATATCACTCCACTCATTTATCGCACACTAAGGGCCTGTTCTTTAGGGCTTGAACTCTTAATTTCTGGTTTTTTCCAGTTTCTTCCAGTTTTTTCCAGTTCCTTCCAGTTTCTTCCAGTTTCTTCTCACTTTTTTTATTTTCTTCAAACTCTTTCTACTCCTCAACCAATTAGTCTAAAAATGATATATCTCAATGTAATTATTATTATTATTATTATTATTATTATTATTATTATTATAAATAAATTGAGGTGCAATATAACTACACAGCCTTTTTAAAATTTAATATTTTTATATTTATGCTAACTTTATATTATAATTATTTTTTGTAAAAGTAGTTTTTTGTATTTAAAAAATAACAATATTTTTTTATATCTTAAAGACATGGGAGAAGTACCAATATAGCACTAGTTTAGCCTTAGAATACTCAAAATAGCTGCTATAGGAGGTTTTTGAGATGCATTTCCGGTTTTGTCCTTAATTAAACTTCCAAAAGGAATTATACTCAATTTGGTAAATCACGGTAAATTCCGGCCTCCAGGATTCTTGCGCAGAACAATATCGGGAAGGAGACGCAGTGCAAGGGTTTCATTGGCAAACGATGATGCGCTGGACGAGATTTCTCTTAGCAAAAGATTGAAGAAGATTCAGGTATGCTTGTTGGGGCAGTGGATTCGTCTTCAGCTTCGTTTATTTTGGCAGTGGATTCGTTATTTTGGCAGTGGATTCAAGTTGTCTTTTTTTATATTTCACAATATAATAGTCATGGCAGTGTACTTAATTGACAGTCATTGTTTAGGCTTTTTGTGGTATGAATTGTGTAATTGTTTGTGTCAATATTGTTTTGTGCATTTGAATTGTTTGGCAGTGTACTTAATTGACAACAAAAAAAAGAATAACGAAGAAGATTTAATTGTTTGTGAATGTTGTTATTGGCAACAAAAAAGACAAGACCTGGACCTGTTTGGCAGTGGATTTGGATTTGTTTGGCAGTGGATTTGGATTGTTGTTTTTGTGCATTTGAAATTGTTTGGCAGTGCGTCAATGTTTTTTCATCAGTGGAAAGATTATTTTAGTT